TCCCACTCCCCCTGCTTGTGTTCCCTCTCTTGCTGTCTCTCTCTCTCTGTCAAATAAATAAATAAAATCTTAAAAAAAAAAAAGTCCTTTTTGTATCACTTCATATTTGGCTTTATTACCAGAAAGAAGGTAATTATCAAATGTTTGTCAGGTTTGTTCATCTTGCTTCTCTGATTAATTTTTTGCATTGACACTGGTCTTAGATCTTCTATGGATGTAAGTAAACAAAAAGGTAGTAGGAATGAGAAACAGTAAAAGGCTAGGCAAGATCCAGATTAGGATTATAAGCTTTTTGTCATACTGAGAGTCAGAGGGGACACATGGAGCTGGGCCACTATTCAAACTGTCCCCATAACCCTTAGATTCACATGTAGGAGGGGTATAGATATAGACACAGTGACATTCATAAAATTGTTGCAATGACACTTGTCCAGGTTGTAGTCATAGTGGAATATAGTGGTATCTATATTCCACTTAGTGGTATACAAGCAGGTTTGATTAATATAGATCTGTGAACCACGTTGGGTACCATCCCTCTCATCAGCTCTGTCTGTGGCTTCAAAAAACTCTGCACCCCAATACCACATGTCCTACATGGGGAAGTGGGTAAGTGTTTGATGTTTCTTAATTCAGTCAACAGCCTTTCACATTGTGCATCTTTGGCCTTGCACTTACTGAAGACCTTAATCATCCCCTTAGATTCACTGCCATGGTTTCCAAACCTGTCCCTTTTGTATTCATGTAATGATATCAACTTTCCAGGCAACCTTTGTGCCTTTTCCAAAGATTTTAACACAATGATTCTCCACGCTTCAGCACCAGCCCTGGTAACAGTAACCTTGTTCTTTGTAAGGAATGCCATCTTGCTTGTAGGTATCTGTCTGGCACCACCTGGAAATACCATTACAGTGTTCTGGGAGGTCACACTCATCTACTCTGAGGCAGCAGGGTGTAGAAGTTTGCTGGTTTTATAGAAGGATCCCAAATGTGCAGTCTGAACCTTTCTTCAGCTGGCATGAGGGCAGACAGTAGTGATCATTTTAATAATTAAGGACACTGCCACAATCACATTCTTTTCCTTTATCTACTTTCTTTTTTTTTTTTTCCAATATGGCTTTCCAAAGGAGCTTTGGAGCTCAGGTTTTTTTGAACAGGCAGTACCCTCTATGCTTATGCAACAGCCGGTGGAAGTAGTCAAAGCTGTAGTTGCTGAAACCCATATCTATAGTAAGAAATTCATGCATAGGACAGGGGTTCTGGCCATGACACTTGCAGGTCACATGGTCATGCTTCATTCCCAAGTTTTGGCCAAGCTTGTGAGCCATAAGAGCTGTGAAATGTGGTATATTTTCATGACAGAAAGATTCAACACTGGTTGAATTCTTAGCAGTGCAGATACCACTAAGAAATGCATGGCTCTGGTACTTCCCAAGACCTTGGCTAATGACCATATGAGCAACATTATGCTTCACTCTTCTCAAAAGATGCCAGTCTCTCTAGCAGTTAAAATTTTGTAGTGTTTCTTGCAAATTCAGGGAGATTTTCACTAGGTTTCTCTCTGTCCATATCTTTAACCCAGTAATACTGTCACATTTAATTTCTTCTTGTACCTGTTAACCTGAACATTCATTACCATCTGTATTGTCTTGGTAGCATTATTATTCCACATTTGGAACTGCATATTGTCAACCACAGTAAATGTTTCAGCATGCTTGGAAAGTGACCACATATAGGACATTGGAAAGGAAGAGGGCTCTATTTTGCTCTGAAATTGTGAAGTGGTTAAGAGCTTCTCCTGTTTATCTCCACTCATTGTACAAGACTAACCTGATTTTAAAGATATGCTGAAAACCATATGCCCAAAATTCTTTGAAGTATATATAGGCTTGATGCCAAAGACAGTGTCATGTAAAGTCAGGACTCCCTTTATAGCCCTGAGCAAGTGCTAATAGTCACAAGAGAATGCAGGTCACCCTCTAAACATCCAGTCATCCTGAATAAAAGGCATGTCAAGCCTAGTATCCCATTTTGATGTGTATAAACAGGGAAGTTCTTGATAAATAATCCTTTCTTTTGCTTCAAATTAATAATAGGCCATTTTTCTTGTATGAGCAGAATATAGGACACTTTTTCTGCTTTTTCTTCCCGTTCTTTGAATATCATCAAGTTGCTAGGGATGACTATTTTATAATAAAGAGATTTCCATTTACAATGCATCCCTTGAAGAATATTCAGTATCAGCAATAAGATGACATGCAGCTTAATATAGGAAGGGCTCATTCTCAAGTGCCCCATTCAGGAACTCCTGGAAGAAAAATCACTCTAAACCTTACCCATGACCACTTGATTTCATAGAAGGAAGTGCATAAGGGAGGCAAAGTAACTGGGGTTGTCATTGTCATGGCCCAGTTGAAACAACTAATGGTCCTACACCTCTGTCTCAGTTGCCTTACCTGAGATCCGAATCTTTGTCAGTAACACAGTTTGGCTAAAGCTCAAGGCTTTGCTGCCTGTTGCAAGGATAGCTGCTCCCACCCTGGGAGTTACAAGATGACATCTATTGTTTGACTGTGCCTCTTCCTACTCCTGTTGTGGTCTCTCTTCACAGGAGTGCTCTTACTTTGCAACCTTCATGAAAGCACAAAATTTTAGTACTGCTTAGCTGAGCTCCTGCTATCTTCATAGAGGAGTATACCAAGGAGAGGAAACTTTCAGAGGTCCTGTCAGTATTATGACTCAGGATCAGGCCCCAAGAAAAGAAAAAGCTATAACCTTCTTCCTTTATTCCCAGTCCCCATGGAAGTCTTCCCCTCCTGTCATTCATTGTTCTTTTGAGTCATTGAAACCAAAGGTTTCCAGGGGCGCCTGGGTGGCTCAGTCGTTAAGCGTCTGCCTTCGGCTCAGGTCATGATCCCAGGGTCCTGGGATCAAGTTCTGCATCGAGCTCCACATCGAGCTCCGCACTGAGCTCCGCATCAGGCTCCCTGCTCCGCGGGAAGCCTGCTTCTCCCTCTCCCACTCCCCCTGCTTGTGTTCCCTCTCTCACTGTGTCTCTCTCTCTGTCAAATAAATAGAGAAAATTTAAAAAAAAAAAAAAAGAAAAGAAACCAAAGGTTTCCAGAGCAGGGGTTTGTAGATCTCTGGGTGGGTCACATTTTGCACCATCCCGACTCTGAACCATTCAGCCCTTTGCAAACCTCCAGTTCCTTTTTCTTTCTTTGTTATTCACAATATGTTTATTGGCTTATTCCTAGAATACATGTAAAGTATTAGAATAACCCATGCCTCTGTGAAAAGCAAATATATGAACTGGAGAACAGTATTTGTGTTCAGTTCTTTTTTCTCTTTAGCCTTATGGTATGAGGTCAAAATAATGTTTTCTAAAATTATCTAGGTTATAATTTTTTATCTAGACCTATTCTAGATATTATGGTGGTATTATTCATTTTGAATACAGCTAAGTTCATATGTTACTGTTTGTATTTCATTTTGGGTTTTCCCCCACCTTTTGGATGATGATGATTTTGGGAAAATGTGAAATATTACCATGATT